AGATGAATCTCACGTGTTTCATTGAAGAGGAAGGAGTCCTGGTACTCTTTCATGTACTGTGAGGATCTGGCCTCATCCAGGAAGAGAGAGTAGACCCTCTTAATGTCCTCCACTTGGACTTCAGTGCCCTGTTAAAAATTAACAACCACAGTCAGACTAAAAATGCTTGTTTATTGTATTTTATTGCCGCACTGGCTATAATATGTGTGTTGGCATTACCCGGCGTTTGCGGCACACCAGGCCTGCAGTACTGATGAGCTGGATGGCATAACGGAGTGAAGTCTCCTGTCCGATACGAGTTAAAACTGTGTGTGCCTCCTCACTGAGCTCGACGTCTTCCTCCTCACAGCTGTAACAAAAACACATATATGGTGAGAAGTGACAAAAAACCCCTCACAAAACTACATATTATTTAAAGTAAAAAAATTCTCACCGAATCTTCAGGATCTGTCTGGTCTCTTTCTCAGTGTAAGGAGTGGTTGCAATGATCAGCAGACGGTCAAGCATGTCTATGGGAATACCATGAGGACTCTGATAATTGGTGCCTCTAATACTGTAAAAATGAAACAACAGTGGATGAGGAGAAATGATCCACATTATCATGATGGTAGCTGTTGATGTTGTGTTTGTGTGTATACCGGGTGATGCCTCGGTTAGTGGCCATGATAAGTACAGGTGATAGATCACTCTCAAGAGCTCGATTCAGGAATGAAAAGCATTCTATGTCCAACATGTGGACCTCATCTATGAAGAGAACCTGCAACCAAAAAATAAATAAACATTTCCATTGCAAACAAATACTCTCTATTTCATGATTGCTTTAATGTTTTTTTTGGAAAGAACACAGATGTAGTAGATATGGATGCAAAAAATGCAGGCAAGAAAAATTTTTATGCACTTTATGTATTCTTTTTTTAAATAAATGTTATCATTTTTTAACAAACAAAATTAGCTAAAAAATTTTTTTTATTTTATTTGATCATTTTTCTATACAAACTTGTTGGCAATTTTATTCATAACATTGCTTTTAAAAAACATGCAGTAGAGAGTTAAATTTTCACTGCACTCTTTTCTTAAAAACAAAATTGTCAATGGCTGGAAGGTTTTCAAGAGAACAAAGCCCTAAAGGAAAAAGTCCACTCTCTGTTTGTGGGCTGGCTCCTCTTCTTTGAACACTTTAAGGGTCTTATTTGACTGGGCTGCTTACCCCAGGAATGATCTCAGCTTTGCCTTCCTCTCTCCACTCAGACACTTTAGCATTGATCTGTTCTCGAACCTCTGACTTTATCTCTCCTGTGTCACCTGCAGAACAGACAATCAATCATCAACTACAGCAAACACAAACATCTATGGAGAATTATTTTCATTCTGAATCATGGATTAGTTTCACTGAGCATATCATTATCTAGTAAGCTGACAAGAGCATGACAAACCTGAAAATAAGGCCAGGAATCCCTGAGTGCGGCTGTTGATGACATCAATTTCATGGAGAGAGACTGTGTGAACAACCTCCTTCCGTTTCTGCAGTTCTCCCTCTGGACATTGCACAAACTGTGTCTGAAATAAACAGCAAAAACAGTATATATATATATATAAAAAAAATTATCTCAGGGAAAAGTGAGAGTATCTCTCATCATTG